ATCAGCAGCTTTCTGAAGGGTGGAACCTAGTTATGTCCTGTGAATAGAACAAAATCCTCATGATGGAAGATTTTCTCATTTATTATAAGTGGTTCTTCTAGTTAAGGGACTGTGATGAATAAAGTAAAACAACCCTGACTTAATATAAATTCTTGGTTTGGGAATACTTGGATGGAATCCCGATGAACTATGCCTAATTTTTTGGTTTGACTGAGAGTGGGTCTCTTCATATCAGATTAAAATTGTGGCGAATATTTTTTCCAGGGCAGTGTAAAAAATGGACATTTACTTAGATAGCATCTCAATAATTACAATTAAATGAGCCTTTTTTATGTATTTAGTACAGGGTCTCCTTACAGAGATCGGATTTATAGTGATGCCCCTGTTTTCAGCCTCCCAAAAGCAGGGATTACAGGTGTTAAATGAGCCTTTCCAAAAGGCGTCAGGTCAGTTATTCCATTGTAGGGCCAATGGCCCTTCAGAGTCGCACAAGGCAAGCACTCTCAGGCAGAGGTCTCAGGTCTCACACTATGGGGTGGGCAAAAGGAAACACTAAGGCCAGCCAGAGAGGAAGACAGCAGGAGGAACGATGTGGTGAGAATTTGGTTCTTTGGTTTGGTTTTATTTTGACACTTAGCCTCACTGTGTAGTTCCTGCTGGCCTTAAACTTACTGTGTATCCAGGCTGGCTTCATACTCTTGATGATCCTCCTGCCGCAGCCTCCCAGGTGCTGGGATTTTAGGTATACATTACCACACTCGGCTTATTTTCCTTTTAAAATCAGTACAAAACTCATCAGACTTCTTTTGCATCTCAAAATAATATAAAAATGGTGGTTTTATATGAAAATGGAAGATGCTTAGTTATAAACTGAACTTAATGCGTTTGGATTAAGAAGCTAGAGCAGGTGAATATTGTTTTTGTCTGTTTCAGACAGGGTTTCACTGTGCAGTTTAGGCTGACCTTGAACTCAACTTTGTAGCCAGGCTGGCCTCGAATTTGCAGCGATCCTCCTGCCTCAATCTCCTGAGTGCTGTGATTACAGGCGTGTGCCACCTGGATATTTTGCTTTGCTTTGGTGAGCATTGACCATAGTGTTACATCCCTGAGAACCTGTCCCTTTTCTTCACCATCCTTTCCAACACTGGGGATAGGGGAATAGCCCAGGACTAAAATAGCCTCAGCCTCTGCTTCTGTGCCCCTGAGGCCGACTTCTGCAGCGATTCCTTCAGCCTGGATGATTTCTGAGATTTTTTATAACTCAGAAATATTTGAATGAGAATGACAGATGAAAGAGTTGAGGTGTCTCTCAATTTATCATGTTTTAAAAGCCAATATTATATTATGTTATGTCACACATGGACATTTCTCACCAGCATGTAGTGTGTTTTTTAATTGAGAAATAATTTCAGGAAGTCACCTTTGTTGGCCTAGTGGCATTTATTTATTCAGCATGTATTTAGCAGTGAGACCTCTGCTTTCTGCTAGGCCTTGTGGAGTGCTGAAGTACAGCGATAAAGAGTGATTGCTGTTTCTTAGGAAATAGAGACTACTTAGGACATTTGAGAAGTGCATCGAAGAGTTACAGAAAAGGGGGGCTCCATGAATACCCCGAGAGAGAAGGTAGCTTTTCATTGGAGGAAATGAAAATCCTTAAGAATATGTCCACACAAGCAGTGGTCCAACTTGAACCTTGGCTCTTGGTGGATATTATCATATGGAAATAGTGAGAGAGAAGGTGAAGGTAACAGGAGTTTTATAACAGATAAAACTAGGAGCTCAGAGGACAGAGCAGGTGGTTTATTTTTTTTCCATAATTTTATTGAGAAACAAATAGCAATGAGACTGAAACAAACCAAATTGGTAGGAAAGTTTCAATAATTAACACATTGCATACATTCTTCCTAGTGATTAATTGCTGTACAAGATACAGACTTGATATCCTATTTACAAACACCATTAGAACAAATCCCTCTATTCATTAAGAGAATGTAACTATATATGTATCCTAGCCACTTGAATGCACAGATACAAAATGGACATTCATCTGTATCCCCCTTTTTTGTTAAGTTCCATCATTTAAATATAGGTGTGTAAACTCAGCAAAATATTCTAAAAGAGTCCAGTAGTCCATAATATTATTGGGTCTTTCGCTTCACTGGCAATGTCACAAATTGTTGACCTGAGTCTCCTACAGCTCAACATAACACCATGGATTTACT